AGAAGCACCTCTGAATCCTTTAGTCATGACTTTCTGCAGCAGCTCGTCTCCTTAATATTTCAGGTGTTCTGACGACATTCGGAGCGGTGGAGGTGTAATGCCGCTCCAGCACCAGAACCTTCTTTAACATCAGCTGAGGATGTCAGCTTCTCTTCAAACTCTTCTCAGCAGCGTTCGCAGCACGCTGAAGAAAACGGGGAGATTTCACAGGATTACTCTCAGTTACACAACTGCTTTCATCGCTTAAACTCAAACCTGCTCGAGACGACACGGGGAGGTTTCAGGGGTCATCACAGGTCACTCTGGTGATCAGGTGGTGTCAGAGCAGGTGTTTCCACCTCTTTCAGATCACTGCTCATTGCGTACTCTGACCCAGTTTCTTCAAGTGTTAATGAAATGTCTAAAATATTTAAACCAGGGGGTTCTTCTCTACGCTCTTCTCCCTCGTGGTCTTCCTCCTTTCGTCGCCCGCTGGCTGTGATCTTTGACATTGTCATCTTGACCCAGGTTCTTTTCAGTGATCCAGATTCTAACAGCCTGGGAGCTCAGACAGCTGGTTCTGGTGCATCACCCGAGTTAGACTTTGGTTCTGGTCCTGGTTCTGGTTGGTGGAAACATGATAAACATGGGATCAGACAAACAGAACTGTCATATATAGCTGTGTTTAGAGCTGATGCTTCAGCTGTTCATGTGACGAACCTGATTCTGGATCGGTTCTGATAGGAACTGGACTGGTGGAGCGACTCCTGTTGTGTGCTGGATGAATAACCTCAGAAATGTATTCATAATAAGTTTCTCAGATGATTTTCATAAAAAAGATTAGATTTTCTGTTCTTTCATATCATTGTTTTTCTTTCTGCTTCATTCTGATTTATTACTTTACTGGACTATTATGGATCTGGTTCTGGTGCATCACCTGAGTCAAGCATTCACCCGAATCTGGTTCTGGTTCGGTCTAGTCTTGGTTCTGCTTCTGAATCTTTTCGTTTATTAAAAAACATGAGCTTTGGTTAGGGTTAGGTTAGGGTGAGTGTGAGGTCTGTGGCTCCTCCTTACACACACAAGTGTGTGTACGCTGGTGCTGACATGGTGCTCTCACAAGTATGGACTTGGGCCTTTTAACAGATGACCTAAGGCTGTGGTTGGCACTAAATGCGATATCAATTATTATCAAGTGCTTTTCAGTAAAGATTATTATTGTTATTTATCCTCATGCTGTTGGCGCAGTGATATTTTGGTTTTGTTGTGTTTTTGTGTATCCCCTTGTCTCTCTCTCGGGTCTAGAAGCACATTCTTGTTCTTCTTTCATTGTTTATTTTTTATTGTTTGTTTTTTTCGCTTTCACTTTTGTCTCCGTGTCCACTGGGATTCAAAACCACCGAAAATATTTATAATAAAGTTTTGGTATCATACGTGGCCTTATAGCAGAAGTTGTAACGCCCCACCTGTGAGAGGAAAACTGTAAGGCTTCAGAGAGTTTCACAGCCGGACAAGACACGATAAAACAAAAAAACATGAGCTTTAAATTAATACTTTTACCTGTTCGGATTTTGATTTTCATGTATTTTTCATCCTAAACTTCTTGCATTATATAGTTTTAAAGAACTGCTTTGTCATGTTTTGAACCAATTCACCTAATTTTTTTTATTGATTACTTTAGAACATCCTATCTTTTGTTTTCATCTCTTTTCACTAAACTTTGTCAATCATTTCTTTTTAGATGTAATGAATTGATTGTTTTTATACCTGCAGTAACATGTGATGATCAGGGATCAGCACCAGCTTCAGTCTGTACCATCTGACAGAATCCCAGAAACGTGGAGACGGTCAGAAATGTTTGTCTCATCTCCATTTCTCTGTCTTCAGATCAGTTTCTGCTGAAGCCTGAGTAGTCCAGGTCAGAGCTACACAGCTCAGCCAGCTGCATGCAGATGTTGACATCTGGTGGTGGCTGGAGGAACCTTCTCAGTGGTGAACTCGGATCCAGACTGTAGACAGATCTGATCTAACCTTTTATTTATTGTTTGGTGATTCTACGCTTGGAAAAGTCAGTAGCAAAGTCATTATTTCCTTCTTTTCCAAATGAAAAAAAAAGAAACTTAAAATCCCAAAGAGACCTGTTACAGTGATCCACGTGAACCAGAGCAACCAACATACTCAGTTTAACTTATAACTTTATGTCTATCATCATAAAATAACTGTATTTCATGGTTCAAGCACGTTGAAAAAATATATATCAGAAACACTAATACTGTATAATCCCAAAGTGAAACTGGTTGTGCTACAACTGCACATGAAAACCAGCCTGACCAGCCAGCTCCATGCTCCCTCAGGTCTCTGTGCAGAATTAAGCAGAGGATGAGTCTGGCAGGCCAGGCTACATGAAAACATCACAAGGCACTAATGACCATCAATATAAAAATAAATGAAGCAAATAGTTTATTCAAGATAAACAGAATTAAACTGAAAATGTAGTAAAAACAAATTTAGAGAAAGAAAAAGAAAGAAAATAAGATTAAAATATTTTAAGGGAGATAGGAGGAATGAAACAGGGCAAAATATAATGAAATAAGTTATAAGAAAGTGTCAAAATTATTACTTTTTTAAAGTTATATATACAAACATGTTTACGAAGTTCTTTGCACTAAATTCCTCCCACATTGAGCACGTTTAGTAGCTTTATTCTTTCAATTTTAATACCTTCCAGAATGAGCCTTTTCAGGGCTCTGTCACTTTAACACAAATAAGCTGTTGCTGGCCACACCCACCCACCCTCTGCTCGGGCTGCTATATGCTAAGAAACGATATCCGGCAGGGCTTGCAGTAGAACTCCTTCAGCATGGACAGGTTGTGGTGTTGATGTTGGGGGGTGTTGTACGCTATTGTCCCTTATTGTGAAATTACAACAAGGGACTTTTTGAAACGGCTCATTTTAGGGAAATTCCTGAGGGTGAAGTCTCTTGTCCAGTCTCTTCTTCTTCCGGCTCTTGGAGAGTACAGACGCTTTTTTCCTCCTCTCCTCCCTATCTTATCCCCAAGGCTCTTTGTCTGTCTTTGGGTGTACGGCGCTTCTGCATTTTTCTGGAAACTGGAAATTATTAAAAATGGACCTGGTCAGCTGGTCTCTCAACACGATTGACACAATTTTTTCAACGATGAGAACGGGAGAAAGGGCTCCCGGGTGTCCCTCTGGGACAGACCCAGCTGGTCATATCATGGACTCCTGGAAACAGTGGAACTTGATCTGCTTATCTCAACTGTCTGTAGAGGATTCTGAAGACGTCTGGATATTCGTGGTGTTGGTGTCAGGTTTCCTGCTTTTTGGCCTGGGAGGTTATCTGGCTTATCGGAAAATTAATGAGCTGTCGAGGAATATTGGCTCAATCCCGGAGCTCAGAGATGGATTACAGCACGCTGTAAATGCACAAACTCATATAATTGTTGAGATGAGTCGTAAGCTTGGATTTTTGGCTGAGATTCAGACTCTGGCACAGAAGGTGGATTCCATCAAGGAGCGAACTGACACATCAGCACGGATTGGGATAGATTAATTATGCCATTATTGGATTAAGAGGGGTTGAGGACCAACGGAACTTTAAGACAGAGAGGAAATTATCTCTGTCTGGCCCCAAAACAATTTCTTATCTGAATCTGGTGCCCTTGAGCCTGTGAGGCTGAAACACATACTCCCCCATCAGAAGAAATGTGGAATGCTGCCGTCACCATGGCAACTCTGTCTCCCTATCCCAGCCAGGGCGGGACTGTGACCGGTGAAGGCCGTTTAATCGTTCCAGGAGTGACTGTGCTCTCTAAAACCCAACGACCTCCTCCCCCTGTCCAAACGGAGGTGACGAGCCCTGCTTATTGTGGCTGCATGCACTGATGTGTGGACAGTCCCCAACCCTACTGCCCCACCTAGTGGACACTTGTGTGTGTGATGTCTGAAGTCTGTTGCATTTCTGTCTGAGGAGTTTTTTGCATAGCAAAGCTGCCCTCCCTGTGGAGGGCAACTTTGAAGTGCCTTTTTTTCCCTCCACCTGACCCAATCCTCATGTAAACCCCTCTGATCTCTATTAAGGTAGCGCGACTCGGGTTGCGAAAGACCACAGTCACCAATTCTTGTCATGTGTCTATGCCTATGTATGTATATCTGATCTCTGGATTGTGTGAACTGAAACTTTAATTTCCCTCTGGGATTAATAAAGTATCTTTGAATTGAAGTTCTGAGCCCGGCCTGGTCTGTGGTGGGCGGCTGCGGGTGGGCCTGGGGGCTTGCCGTCGTTATCTCCCGGGGTTCTGGCGTGGCTGAAATTAATCATTTATTCAATAATAATTTGTGTCCTGTCGTGGTGAAGAGAGAGCTGAGCCAGAAGGCGAAGCTCTCAATTTACCGGTCGATCTACGTTCCTACCCTCACCTATGGTCATGAGCTTTGGGTAGTGACCGAAAGAACGAGATCACGGATACAAGCAGCCGAAATTAGTTTACTCTGCAGAGTGGCTGGGCTCTTCGTTAGAGATAGGGTGAGAAGCTCGGTTATCCGGGAGGGGCTCGGAGTAGATCCGCTGCTCCTCCACATTGAGAGGAGCCAGTTGATGTGGCTTGGGCATGTGGTTAGGGTGCCTCCTGGACGCCTCCCTGGTGAGGTTTTCCAGGCACGTTCAACCGGGAGGAGGCCTAAAGGGAGACCCAGGACACGGTGGAGGGACTATGTCTCTCACCTGGCAGGGAACGCCTTGGGGTTCTTCTGGAAGAGCTACCCAAGTGGCTGGGAAGAGGGAAGTCTGGGCCTATATATATATATATATATATATATATATATATATATATATATATATATATATATATATATATATATATATATATATATATATATATATATATATATATAGTTTCCTGTGTTTTGGGTGAACTGAGCCTTTGACGTTGATGTAGTTACACTTAGTTATCGTTAGACGGCACCATTGTCCTGTTATCTTGGTTGAGAAACGCTTCGCTTTTCTTTGAATGGTTTGTCCCTTTTGTGTTCCTGTAGTTAAGAGGAAAACATGGCGCGTGACGACGACGGCGACGAGGATTTTGTAACTTTCGGAACTGCTTTGGAGCCTTTGGAAGACGGTAGAGTCACATTTAATACCTTCGTTAACGAGTCTCCTCGACCGGGAAGCCTTTTGATACTTAGCTGTCATGAAAACGAGTTCCGGTGGTTGTTTTAGGAGGCTAGGCGGACCCGCTGCTAGCTGCCCCGGTTGGCGCTACCAACATAGGAGACTGTTATTAAAGGTACCAGGACGGTGTCGCTAGTGCTGAATGATTTCTGATGCCTCTTAAAACAGGTTTCACAGATTCCTGCCTTGTTTTTCTCAGAAGACAGAAGTTTTGGTTTGATCTGGTTTTTGTTTTTTGGGTAGAACCTCTGTTTTTTTTTTATTTTATTATTGTATAAAATCAATACGAACACGTGACTTTGTGAAAAATCTTCTTGTCCATTTGTTCATGTCTTAATAGATTCTTATTCTAAAGAAGACAGTCAGCTGGATCTCTGGTTCCATGTTTCCTCTAATAGTCTTAAAGCAACCAGAGGGGCCCAGAATCCGCCCCAACACGTATATTGTTATTTAATCTCCTTCTTTTGGCAGCAGATGGTGATCACCTGGACCCACAACACTATGATTGAGTGTGTTTGTGTTTCCAGATGAGCCCCTGAGGAAGCCCATCCCTCTCCATGAGCAGACTGTAAAGGATGAGAAGGGTCGGTACCAGAGGTTCCACGGAGCGTTCACTGGAGGCTTCTCAGCTGGTTACTTCAACACTGTTGGCTCAAAGGAAGGTTGGCGATGGACTCTTCCCACCAAGACCTGATTTTGTTTTTGTAAAAACCTGTGATGTTCACCCTGCTGTATCTCTGAAAATGTAACTTGTAAAAGAGTGTTGTCTTGTTTTTCTCAGGGACTTTTCCTGACCGATAATTTTTTTGTCTTGGTGTAAATCAGGTTGGACCCCATCAACATTTGTATCTTCAAGGCAACAGAAAGCTGACAAGCATCATGCAAGGCCAGAGGATTTCATGGATGAGGAGGTAAAACCTTAAAGACTTTTGTCTTCTAATCTGTGACGTGTTTTTCTGTTGTAGTTTTGTTGCTGTAGAGAAACCATCGGGGTATTCCAGAAAGTGAGTTTAGAACATTTGGGCTTTCCTGATAACTCCCTGCTTGACAAAGCACTCCCCTTCCCTTCAGGTTTCAACGGCTTTATGAACGATGGTGGATTCAATCTCCTTTAATTCAAGCGAGGAGCGTCAAGCGAAGCTCGCGCGCATCCACAGGCAGCCCCTGTTAATCGATGCTAGATGAATGAGAATTAAAGGAAAGGACAGAGCCTCGTTCTTCTCCCAGACAGAGGATGAATTAATAATTCATGCCTACGATGACTATAAAGATGTCAGAACTAAAGTAGAGACCGCCAGTTGTTTGATTAAAGCCGTAAAGCTGGAGCTATTTAGTTAGAACGTTCGGTGCCTACATGTTTCCATGGCAACGCCAGATGTCTGCTTCAGCTCTTGTTTCTCCACATATTTTAATCATGTTTTCATCACTTATGTGTCGTTTTCATGTTCTGCTCCAGAGTCTGGATGTTTAGAGACTGGAGGACTTTGTTTTTGCTGTGAGTTTTAAGAAGACACGTTCGTGGCGGTCACGTGACCCTAAAGTTAACGCTGTAAACCGTTTAGCACTCATATTACACACCGAGGACAAAACATCACGTATGTCATTTAACTAAAATATTAGCCTGTTTGACACGTGTGACCAGAGTAAATATAGTCACACCAATAAAGTGTTTCCTTTTACATGTGTTATGTTAGCAGCTGTAAGGTAGTTTAAGGCTATTTTAACATATTCATAAAGAGGACAGCATGTTAATGATATGGGTCCATCCCAGACTAAAGCTGGTATATAATTATACTCATTAATAATGCTGACATCAGGAGCAACATCAGTGGAATGAAACGCTCCTGGTTGCAAATGATGATTAAATGCAAAACATGCTAAGATGTAAATCCAATTAGAAGTCAGTTTTAAAAGTTTAAACTCCACATTTATTAATAATTTAGTCATCCAAAGCAAAGCTGCAGCTGCTGTTACCGCTGTGGGCCAGCGGTGGCGCTAACTCACCTCTTCCTAGTTGCCAGCCACCGACAAGAAAAAGGTGACGTAACGTGCCTCCTCGTCCAATCATATTCACAAAGCGTTAGTAAGCTGTAGAGAATTGAAGGATTTAATTATGACCAATAAGATGTGATGTCGTCGTCGTCTTTCTCCGCTTATCCGGGTCCGGGTCGCGGGGGCAGCATCCCAACTAGGGAGCTCCAGACCGTCCTCTCCCCGGCCTTCTCCACCAGCTCCTCCGGCAGGACCCCAAGGCGTTCCCGGACCAGATTGGAGATGTAACCTCTCCAACGTGTCCTGGGTCGACCCGGGGGCCTCCTGCCAGCAGGACATGCCCGAAACACCTCCCCAGGGAGGCGTCCAGGAGGCATCCTGACCAGGTGCCCAAACCACCTCAACTGACTCCTTTCGATCCGGAGGAGCAGCGGTTCTACTCCGAGTCCCTCCCGAATGTCCGAGCTCCTCACCCTATCTCTAAGGCTGAGCCCGGCCACCCTACGGAGGAAACTCATTTCGGCCGCTTGTATCCGCGATCTCGTTCTTTCGGTCATTACCCAAAGCTCATGACCATAGGTGAGGATTGGGACGTAGATGGACCGGTAAATCGAGAGCCTGGCTTTCTGGCTCAGCTCCCTCTTCACCACGACAGATCGGCTCAGCGTCCGCATCACTGCAGACGCCGAACCAATCCGCCTGTCGATCTCCCGATCCCTCCTACCCTCACTCGTGAACAAGACCCCGAGATACTTAAACTCCTCCACTTGAGGTAGGACCTCTCTCCCGACCCGGAGTTGGCAAGCCACCCTTTCCCGGTCGAGAACCATGGTCTCAGATTTGGAGGTGCTGACGGACGGATGAACTCTTAAGGAGTCATGCGGCTGTGTCATCTTGCAGTGTGCAAACAGGATTGACTGTGTGTCAAAGAGATGTTTCCAAACAGGCTGGTTTCGAATTGGCTACTTCAGAGTGTCAGCTGGAGACTGTGTAACTCGGGCAGTCATTCTAGTTTTAAATCTAGAGTTCATCATTTCTGCGAATCAGAATTTGATCCCTCTGAAAACCACACCTTCCAGATACAAGCTGTTCTAGTTCTGTGGATAAAGAATCTTTAAACTTTATATGAGATGACCTTAACTGTAATTTGCATCTAATGAACATTATGTGTGAGTGTAGATAATGATTCACTTGTTAAATCAAACATTACTGATCATAACATAAAATGGATCATTGTAAGCACAATAATATTCTTTTCAGCTTCACTGAACTAGGTACAGATTATTCAAACATTATTATTATTATTCATTTAACATCTGGTTCATTCAACCATGTGATTATTTATCTTATGAGTTGTAAAAGTTCACTTTTCATTCAGAGTGTGGAATCCAGCAGTCTGAGATAAGGTTGACAATCTTCCACCTAGATAGCGCAATTATGTCTGTAGGTGACTGGTCACTATGCATGTCAGTATAGAGGTCAAAATTGACCCTTTCTGGGTGCTACAAAGCCTAGCAGCTAGTCTGCCACGGAGCAGGTTTGCTCTCCAGCATGTGTTACCATGGTGACTGGGAGGGTTTTCAGGCTAGCCACGTTTTTAAAACCGATTTAGGGGCGGTTACACCGGGATTCTCAAAAGAAAGCCTGGTTTTGGGATTAGCTCGCTTTCTGGAAAACCGCTCAGGAGTACATCTCTTTTCTTGGGAGCTAACTCTTGTTGTGCATTAGGATTTCGGAGAGCATGGAATCGCTCCCAGACAGATCACCACCAGTCTGGAGTTTTCCTCCAGCCGCAGAGACGAGGCTGCAGAGAGAGCAAAAGCTGTCGGCGCTCAGGCTGCTCTGATTCCTGGCGATACGCTGCTGGAGGAGCTGATCTCACCTGCCAAGTAACGGTTGCTGTTGTTCTACTGCAGAAATGCCTTAGATAGTGTGTTAAAGCTGTTGCTGGAGACTTTTTTTGGCTGTAGGCCTGAGAAATCTCCTTTGTTACAGCGAGCCTGCTTTTAAGTTTACAGTTATGGGTTTTTTTTGGGGGGTCAGGTCGTCGATCGGCGTGGAGCTGCTGAGGAGGATGGGCTGGAGGGAAGGTCAGGGAGTTGGGCCTCGTGTGAAGAGGAAACCTCGCAGACAGCAGCAGGCGGGTACTGAATGATACTTTAGATTTTTCTCGTTCTGTTTACGTGCATAATTTTGTCACACCATGATCACATCAGAGCTAAAACCTGCTCGTTCAGACCCAAACGGTCTCCAGCTCTAGAACCAGACATTTGGTCCAGATGCTTCTGAACAGAACAGTTTAACACAGTCAGAGCTAAATGCAGCTCCTGTATGTTTCTGACTTTATCCCTTATGAAGGAAGAAAACATAAATAATGAGACGGGTTAAAGCCTCTAGGATGAGTGTGTGAAACTGGAATGAGCTGGAGGAGAAACCAGTTTTGTCCAAATGTAAACATATTTAAGTCGTCATTTGGATTATCAGGAACACCTGTTCAACTTCTCCTTGCTTCAGTGCATTTAGGGGTGTGGTCCTGGTCAAGACCATTTCCTGAACTCCAAACTGAAGGTCAGAATGGGAAAGAAAGGTGATTTAAGCTATTTTGAGCGTGGCATGGTTATTGGTGCCAGACGGGCCGGTCTGAGTATTTCACCATCTGCTCAGTTACTGGGATTTTCACCCACAACCATTTCTAGGGTTTACAAAGAACAAAGAACTACAACAGCAGAAGACCCCACCGGGTACCCCTCATCTCCACCACAAACAGGAAAAATAGGCTACAATTTGCACCAGCTCACCAAAACTGGACAGTTGAAGACTGGAAAATGTTTGCTGGTCTGATGAGTCTCCATTTCTGTTGAGACGTTCAGATGTTAGAGTCCGAATTTGGTGTAAACAGAACGAGAACATGGATCCATCATACCCTCCCTTCATGACCACCATGTACCCATCCTCTGATGGCTACTCCCAGCAGGATAATGCACCATGTCATAAAGCTCCAATCATTTCAGATTGGTTTCTTGAACATGACGATGAGTTCACCGTACTACAACGGCCCCCACAGTCGCCAGATCTCAACCCGATAGAGCGTCTTTGGGATGTGGAGGAACGGGAGCTTCGTGCCGTGGATGTGCATCCCACACATCTCCATCAACTGCAAGATGCTGTCCTATCCTATCAGCATGGGCCAACATTTCTAAAGAATGCTTTCAGCACCTTTGATGAACCAACGCCACATAGAATTAAGGCAGTTCTGAAGGTGAAAGGGGGTCTAACCATATTAGTATGGTGTTCCTAGCAATCCTTTAGGTGAGTGTGTATGGAAATGGGAGCCACTGAGGTTAACTACTATGTTGTGAACTATATTATTATTTTTATTATTATTGTTGTTCTGAGGATTTTATATTTTTTGTTGAGGTGCACCATTGTTTTATGTGCTTATGAGTAATATCATTATTATGGTAATTATTAGCTGTGTTACAGGTGTAAACATACTGAGATGTTAAATACGGATATTGTGTACATGAGGAAGTTTGTGGGGTGGAATTGAATAATCCCTGGTTTCTTCTCACTGCTTTTGGACGACTTTTGTGTATAATTGTTTTATTTTGCTTATTAATTATTTTTCTTATTGCTCTTATTTTAAAATAAACATTTCAATCAGTAAAGTTTCTCTGCTTCTCTTTCTGACAGAAGGCGGAACTAAAGCGTACGGCTGTATGCTGCCCCCTGCTGGTTCGGAGGATTCAGAGGTGACCGTGTTCCTTCTGTTATAATTAACTAAATAAATTCTAGGTTAGAAATAATATGCTTTGACGTTTTCACCCTTCATTTATTTTGCACATGGCTGTGCAAATCTCCATTAAACAAAATGAGTAAAAGAGAAGGATCTTACAACACGACCCTGATTGAAAAGGAGCAGGAAGAAGAAAAATCTCATCAGACCTGCTCCATTCTTATGCGCCTATAAAACAACATACACATCGATGGTCTGTTTGTCAATTACACTACACCAGGGGTGTCAAACTCATTTTAGCTCAGGGGCCACATTGAGGGAAATCTAGTCCCAAGTGGGCCGGACCGGTAATTTAAAACAACTTCAGATTGTTTTCTTTGTTTTAATACAATCAATATAAAACAAGGCTGGAGCCTGAGGACAGTGTATCCAAAATAGTACAAGTACAACACCTGAAGTGTACTTGAAAATTTGAAAAAAAAAAATAAATAAAAAAAAAATCAATAAATTAAAAAAACATTCCTTAGTGATTCAAAGAGCTTACAGATCACATGGCTAGATCAGTTTCATGCAGCACTTAAAGTATATTTGACTCATTTTACTTTACATCTTTTAGCTTTCACCAGCACATCAACATCAGAAGTCACATCCTGAGTGGCGGCCAACTTCAGGATGTGCTTAAGTTCTTGTGTGAGCCTTGAGCGCAGCTTTGTTTTATTTATACTCATTACAGAGGAAACTTGTTCACAAAGATAAGTTTATTTTCACTCTACATTGTAAAGTATGAAAATAAAGTTTACACAACCATCTCGCGGGCCGGAGTTAACCTGCTTGCGGGCCGGAGCCGGCCCGCGGGCCGCATATTTGGCAGCCCCTGCACTACACCAAAAATCAATATCAAACTAAAATGTCACATTTCATCTTTTTACAATCTCCATAATGTTCATTAATCAACAAGTCCATACATGTGACATATTCTATTCTTATATAACCTCTTAAACCGAAAAATATTTCCACACATCTTTGGCTCATTCTGTAATAAATCCACAGTTTACCGCCACATGGTGAAAACCGCTCTGTTTTAAGGTAGTCCTTGCAAACTGATCTTTAAAATCGCGTTTCCTTCTAGTCCCCCGATCCTCAGATCTTAAAACAAACAACTTCTGCAAGCTTGTTGGTAATGCTTCAGTTTTTGTCTTGTACAAAATTAATCATGTATTTCAGTTCAGTTCACTTTATTTCAAACATATACATTCACCAACATTTCATAAAATCATTCCACGCAATTGTTTGAAAAGGAGTAGGGAGAAGTGCATACTTATTTAGCCCTACCCCCTCAGGTTTACATCCTCATCATCAAAATTTAAACAACAAAACAGTTACAATGCCTTCCAAAAAAAAAAAACCACAAAAAAAAACAATAATAATAAATAAATAAAATTCTCATGTTCAACTAGAACTATATTTAGATTTTCTAATTTGTAGAAGAGATTAAACATCAGTTTGCATGCCGTCCTGGGTTAATTGCATTTTCTTCATTCATATTTAATTCAATGAAATATCTAAGGTTAATAATTCAGGGTTTAATAAACAATAAATTAGTATGATCTCTTGGATTTGCTTTGCGTCACCCCACACCTCTGCACAGTAACTTAAATATGGCAAAAGCATAGAACAATATAACATGTGTAACGCATTGCAATCCAAAACATGTTTAACTTTGTTCGTAACAGCAACACTCTTTGAAATCTTTGTTTTTATGTGGACTATTCTTTGTTCCCATCAGATTTGATCTATTTTAACTGCTTTGTAATGTTTGTATTTTAATCCAGATGCTTTATTTATTTTGTTGTTTCCCAACCCCGGTCCTCGGCGCCCACCTGTCCTACATGTGTTTCATGTCGCCCTGTCAAACACCACACCTGACTTAAATGAATGAGTGATTAACAGGCTTCTGCAGCACTTGGTGTCATCTTGAGGAGGCAAGATGAACCAGGTGTGCTGAAGCAGAGGCACGGAAACCCTGTAGGACGAGGAGGCGCCGAGGACCAGGGTTGAGAAACCCTTCTCCAGCAATTTAATCCTCAATGCATCCAGTTTAATCCATGGTGGATCTGTTATAATCCCCAGTGGTTCTGGTTTAATCCTGCCGTTTGTGTTAATATCTCCACTCTGATGTTTTTCTCCCATCAGGATGAATATGAGGAGTTTGCTCCTGACAACGTGACCTTTGCCCCTAAAGACGTGACTCCAGTGGACTTCAGTCCAAGACTCGGAGTCCAGGGTCTGGGATACCGCGGTCTGGACCCGGGCCTTGCACTGCTGGGCCGTGGTGCAGATGAACACATCGACCTATTCAGGCCTCAGTCTGAGTCGAGGAGCCGCCTGTTTGGAGACGCACGGAGCAGCGTGAGGCGAGGAGGAGTTGCTGGACAGGTGTGTGTTAAACTGCGTGTGTGTTATAACACTGGGGCGAATGGTTCATCATGACCTTTAACCTGCAGGCCTTCGGTGTGGGGGCACTGGAGGATGACGACGAGGATGTGTACCACCGGGACTCCATGTCCAGATACGACACAGTTCTGGGAGGAGAGGAACCAGGAGACGGGCTGTTTGGCTGGACCGCTCCGCAACAGTACACAAAGAAGAAAGGTAGCAACCTGGAAAATCCTGGAATTTTTAGAGAAAAAAAATTGCACCTAAAAGTCACCAGAGAGGTCAAAGATCACATCTTGTGTTTGAGGAGCGTCTCCTTCCTGTGTTTAGCACCACGGCAGAAACATTTTATGATCCTGTGTTTCTGCCTTCAGACAAAAGTAAAGATGCTTCGTACCTTGGTAAGATTCTGGAGGGATTCACTCTGGCCCAGAACCCTCCTGAGGAGAAGGTGGTAAGCAGCCTTGGTTTTCCTGCAGATGTTTCTGCATCTGTAAACGGGCGAAACTCTTCTCACTCTGTCTCTTACTGTAGATCTTCCCTCCTCCCGCTTTGCCTAGCAACTATCGTCCAGTTCACCGTTTCCGTCCTCAAGTTGATGTTTCCAGACTCTCCGGAGTCAGTCCGGCTCTGGCTCAGGCTCTCA